AAAAAAAAAAAAAAAAAAAAAAGACGGGAGGAAGTGGAGCCCACGTGGAGGGTGACGTGGAGTCTACCTGGAGGATGACCTGGAGTCCACATAAGGATCTTTTACCTGTTGGCATATCCACATCAGCTGTTTCAGTTAAGTTAACATGCCACGTGAGCAAAAATTAACGGAAGGACCAAAAAGGGGCCGGATTTATGAACAGTAAAGACTAAAAAAAGGATTTTTTCAATACAGGGACCAAAAAGGAGCTTTTTCCTATAGTAGAGGGACCAAAAAGGGTATTTAACCTTTTATTTATTTTTAGGAGAACTAAGAATGAAAAGGAATACACCCTTATTAGCATTTAGGGTTATCTATTCAGTTTTCAGCCAATAATTTTAAAGAAAATTAACACTTACCAGCTAGTATCAGGGTTGACATGATCTAATTAACTTATTCTTATCCACTGATATTAATTCATCTAGAGGTCTAAGTAATTATAACACCTTTTTTTTGAACATAACGAAATTGGTTCATTTCAAACACCGCCATACGGCATCTACAGGAATAGTAAATAGTAAAATTACATCAGGAGCAAGAAACTAGAGTAGATCCATATCCAGAGGCTGAAAGGAGGTGCACATGACACTCGAACAACCGCAAAGGGCCCAGCTATATAGCGGCCTTCGGTCAAGCGATCCAAATGGGACACCCTTCAATCTACCCATGTGGAAGGTGTGCCAGGCTCCAAGATGCCGATGTGGAGACCCGATCAGGCGGAGGCCGTTCCCTGGAGGCAGTAGGTGGGTCGCGAGGTTGCCAGATCTGGGATCCCCCGCGTGCACCGACACCAATAGAAGCTGCCGGATGGAGGGGACCACTGCCGGATCTGCAAGCAAACCAAAATCAGCGAGCACCTAACAAGATCTGCAGGATAGAGCCGAGGGTCGCCAGATCTGAAATACATAAACTATACAAGAACATAAAGTAAAACAAAACAACAAGAAAAAACAAGAAAACCAAAGGGGTCACCAAAAGGGACCCAAAAGCCGACAGACCCAGAAGGGTCATCGGAGGAGGGAGCACAAGGCGGCTCCAACATGCTTGAGCGGCCGGGAAGCCGAGCGGCTCAAGCATCAAAACCTCCGAAGCTCAAAGGCTTCCAAGCAAAACCAACGCAGCACCGGAGAAGGGAGGCAGAAGCAAGAGAGAAGGGAGAGAAAAAGGGGATAGGGAGAGAAGATCTTTAAGCCTTAAGTAATTATAACACCTTTTTTTTTTTTAGCATAATGGAATGGTTTCATTACAAATACCGCCATACGGCATCTACAAAGATACAAATAGTAAAAACAACTGGAACAAAAGATCAGAGTAGACCCATATCCAGAGGCTGAAGGGAGGTGCACTCAGCACTCGAACAACCACGAACGATCCCGGATATACCACGACCTTCGGTCGACCGATCCATACGAGACACCCTTCTATCTACCCTTGAAGAAATAGCATCCGGCTCCAGGATGCCGGGCGGTAACCCGATCTGGTGGCGGAAGTCCCTCGGAACCAGCAGGAGAGCCGCGGTGGGCGTCAGATCTGGTAGCCCTCGCGTGCGTTGCCTCAGATCCGCCGGAGGAGAAAGAAGGCCGCCGGATCTGCACCTAATAGAACAAAAATCAGAAAAAACCAACGAGCCCCTACCAAGATCAACAGGAAAGAGCCGAGGGTCGCCGGATCTGAGAAAAACAAACTGTACAAGAACATAAAACAAAACAAAACAACAGGAAAACAAAAAGCCAAAAGGGGTCACCGGAAAGGGACCCAGAAACCGACAGACCCCGAAGAGTCATCGAAGGAGGGAGAGTCATCGGAGGAGGGAGCACAAGCCGGCTCTAGCATGCTTGAGCGACCGGGGAACCTAGCAGCTCAAGCATCAAAACCTCGGAAGCTCAAAGGCTTTCGATCAAAACAAACGCAGCGTCGGAGAAAGGAGGCAGAAACAAGAGAGAAGGGAGAGAAAGGGGGAAAGAAGAGAGTGGATTTCTGGTCTCAAGTAATTATAACACCTTTATTATACAAAAAAAAGTACATGACACTTGAAAAGAAAATGCATGAATTTAATTTAATAGTTCCATTCTCAACTAGTAGGAGCTATAAAATAACTAATTAGCTGAGATTTCAATGTTACTTTTCAATTCCATCAAATCTATTTTTGGAATGGGAAAACTAATGCATATCTATTAAATTGAATAAAAATAAAGCATTTCTAAAAGTACGATGAATGGAAAGAAGTGATAGACAAACAGAGACAAAAACACACAAGAATCA